ATTCATGGCTTGATAGAGGACCACTGGGAGAACAATTTTTTATAACTATTTGGACCCCTCAAGGAATTCTTTGTAATTTATGAACCTATTACTGTTACCCTCCTCTTCCCTCCCTAGTTTCTTCTTCTTGTCTGGGTCATTCATCTGTTGTACCTTAGTCTTCAATTATTTTGTAAGCACTTTATGACCTGGACCATGCTTTCCTATGTATTTGTTCAGTACCTATAATGGTGAGGAGCCAGCCCCAACTGGGACTTCTTGGTACTATTGAATTACAGATAATAATTTAATATTGAGATGATGCTAAGTAATGAGAACTATTCATAGCCAGAAGTATTATAAACTCTCATTACATGCAGTTCCTGCCATTAGTCACACCCCTTACATCTTTATGGTCACATTACATTCTGGAGAGTGGGGGATCTGGGTCTTTGTCTTACCTCTTTTGCACCTCATGTGAGGGGTAAGGAGTGTGGGTTGTGCTCTAGTGAGGGACAGGCATTTCTCTGGTCTTTTGGTGTTTTATCTCCCCCTCCCTCCACCCACTGTTCTCCAGTGCCTCATCCAACTGGTTGCTTGACCTTGCTTTGAAATAAGGAGTTGAGGCAGTCATCAAGTGTTTGCTCATATATTACACTCCCACCACGCCCTGTAACACTTTTAGCACCATTCCTTATCTGTCTCATTGTACTAAAAGCTCCATCTGGTTGTGAGACATAGCATCTTTGTCCTTTGCTCTTCACACATATCAGTATGGATTTGGTAATACCAAAAGGGAAACCCAAATTTCTCTCAGGCTAATAAACAGGCTTTTATATGCTAACAAGTCTGCTGACCTGTGCTTAGAGGGTTGCTGCTGCTGGATGTATCAACATACCTGCTGGTAGTGGAAATGTTTCACTGCTGCTGTTCCAGTCAGGATAAGCTGTAAAGCACGAGCACACAAACTCTATCAGAAATAACAAGCCAACAGATTTACAGGCCCGGTCCATTCCATCTGTGCAACATCTTATGGAGATTTCTCTTGGAGCTGAGTTAGATGATGTGGAGATGTGCATTCTTACCACTGCCTTCCGAAACCAGTGGAAAAGATCTGGTTCTGTTGCATGTGTGTCTTTTCTCTATTGTACAGAGTGGAAGGGTATTCCTACTGTTAAAGCTTTTGTGTGAAAGTCAAGGTTTACCCACTAGTGGTACATAATACTATCTAATAGCCAGCTAACCACAAAGTGATGTCTGCTGCTCAGCATGAAAGAACTAATTTATACATTTAGTTGCCTCCGTACACAGCAAAGAAGTTCCAAACTGCAACATTTGGGAATGTGATTCAGGTCCCTCTCTGAACTAGAGAAGCAAATTTTCAAAAATAATTTATACTGGATTGGAGGTTTGTGTTTGCTTAACCCATTTTTCTCAGATGTTGTTATCTGGTTGTTATGGAAAATGATTATTTTCTCTTAGTTGCCGATTGGACTCCTCACAACAATTTCTTGAGGGTAAATTTTATCATGGAAGAATGATTACATGCTTTTCAAAACAATTTAATTTGATACAGTAGCTGCAACTAAATCTTCCAGAGAGATGTTTTCCTATGTATTTAGAAGGAGCCAAATTAGATGCAACAATGAACCTATATGTGTATTTTAATGACTCCACTATACTTGCAGTAATGTGTTTGTATTGTTTTCAAAATAATAGAAATGAATTGGGTCAAAGAAAGATTTTTCCTGTCAAAAGTAAAATATTTTATTGGTAATGATGTATTGAGATTTTCTTTCCAGGAAACAAAATTATCTGACAGAGATTTTGAATCCTGTTATATGCACAGTATCCAAGTCTAAGGGGGTAGCTATGTTAGTCAGTATGTGTAAAAACAACAAGAAGTCCTGTGGCACCTTAAAGACTAACAGATTTATTTGGGCATAAGCTTTCGTGGGTCAAAACTACACAAAACCACCACATATCTGATGAAGTGGTTTTGACCCATGAAAACTTATGTCCAAATAAATCTGTTAGTCTTTAAGATGCCACAGGACTCCTCGTTATTTTTACAGTATTCAAGGGACTTTTTACGCAGCAAGGTCTGCTCAAGACTGGCATGAAGTTAAGCAGTACTAATATATAACTTATTATGCTTTGGAAAGTAACCATATTGTTACTGTTGACCACAACAAAAATTCTGTAATATCAAGCTTGAAATCATCTAATCAGTTTTGTGCTCTTATTACAAAATGCAGATAGAATTGGCGACGATGGAGGGTTTTTTAATTAGAGCTGCTTCATAGTGATGTTATCACAGACTAAAAATGAAAATAGGATTGCATCATACTTTGCTAAGTCAAATTACTATTGTTGCTGTCAAGAACTGTCAAGAGTAAACTTTTTCACTAGGACGTTAACAGCATTCCTGAAATAATGGCTGCCACACTTTCCTATGTGTGTTTATGCTTGGATAATTTTTTAAATAATGCTATTGGTATATGCTTTATAGCCTCCCACATTTTGCTATACAAATTTAGGCTTATATTGCAGACTGTGCAATTCATTTGGCAAATGTAATTTCCATCCCTGCATACTAATCGATTTCTTCACAAACACCTGCTATCAGTTATGATAATAAAAATGCCAGTCTAAATTGAAAAGGGGCCAAATAGAGCTTCCTAAGGAAATGACTTAAGTGTCTTTCATTGCAGCTAATGTAGTAATTTTCTTGTAGTGCCAATGTTGGTTATTGTTGGTGGGAGGGGTTTGAGCATTTACATTTTATATAATTTTGTTCTATTACATCATTTTTCTGTCTAAATGATCCATAATAACTAGAGAATCCACATGGGGTGTGTTTCCACATTTTCTCTCTTGGGACCAAATCCAGAAAGCTTTACTTAGGCAAATTTTCTTAGCATAACAAGGCCTCAATCCTGAATGGAACCTCTGAATGCAACCATAGTATAACTATATTAAACAGTCACCTGTACAGTTTCTATGTCATTGCTGGGAAAATGCTGTGAGGTCAATACAGTTTTGCCAATCTAAAACTTATGAATTTTGCCTTTTCACTGAATGTCACTTTTTTTACGTGGTATCAATGTCTAAATTTAGCAAGTAGTCTATGAAGAGGGATTGAAATATATTTCAATAGTTTGGGCATGTCTGCACAGCAGGGATAAAGCCAAAATAAGCTACACAACTTGAGCTATGTCAATTATGTAGCTTACGTCGAAATAGCTTATTTCGTCTTTTGGCTCTGTCTATGCAGCAGGAAGACAAAGCGCTCTTCTTCTGACTTCCCTTACTCCTTGTACAACGAGGGTAACAGGAGTCAGAGTAAGAAGCTCGACATTATTTTGACATTATGTTGAAATAACCTCTTGTAGTGTAGACGCGGACTATATTATTTCGGAATAACGTCATTTATTGCAAAATAACACTGCTGTATAGACATAGCTTTTATGCTCTCATCTCATTAGTAAATAAACTCTTGTTGACTGTGCCCCTGTCAAATGATTAACTGCTAAGGTATACAGAACAGAACTGTTTTCAGCACCCACACTCAGAAATGTCATGCCTGTTTTCAGAAATAGGGAATCTCTAGTTGAGCTCAGCAGACATTTTTATCTCCGTATGTGACTCAATGGTAAAAATGCATGCATCTCCGCTCCACTGCATCTCATGCTATCAGTTGTACCAGTATGACTACACCATTACTGAGACACAGGTAAGAAATTGTGAGGAGCAGAAATCTCCCTTATAGAAAATATGAATGACTCTGTTATAACAGGTATCTTGCACACTTTTAGAATTAGTATCAAAAATTCATTCACAGCTAAACTGTTTTTAATACTAGTTTGAGATGGTAGAGTAAGAAGACAATCCTGGCTGACATCTGTTGTCAGGAATAGGTCATTTTGTGACATTTGTTAGGACATTTCTCTTGGTTGGTGATTCTCAACTGCTTTCCTTACCATCAGCAGTTCCCTCCCACTCAGAAGGGCAAAGTTGTTATGACCCCTGCCATCTATTTGCATTTGCCATGCAAGTCCCAACCTCCATGCCTAAAAATCCTGCTTTAAGATATTTATCTCAGGCCTTGTCTGCACTAAAGAACTGAGCCAAATTAAGTGTGAACAGTTCAGTGTCTCCACACTAGTCAGCCACACGTGTGCTGCCCTATACTATTTCATTTGCAATTCCTCTTGCCTCACAATTCACAGTAGTAGTGCATCCAAGGAGATGTCACAAGGCCACTTAGGGCTTGACTACACGGAAACACTCAGAAAATCGATTTAAACTAAATCCAAATAAGGACATTTTGATTCTAAATAGGAATTTTCCACACAGGAATTAAATGCAATTTAACTAAGCCACTTTAATTTGGATTAACTTTCTGAGTGTTCCCCTGTAGACGAGCCCTTAGTGTACTGTGGCGCATTAATAGGGAAGATTAATTGAACCATTTCAGCAGGTCTGTGTTCACTCTGGCCCTAAACCAGTTGAAATTGAACTTATGAAGTGGCAAAGGTGTATTAGCCCTGCTATTTCTAATGAACTATTAGACTCTAAACCATTAGCAGACCACTAGAGTTGTTCTTGTGTATGATGGACTCTCCAGACCCAAGAGTGGTGACACAGATTTTAGCTGTGTCCACACTACAAAATGCCTGGGCTCTGACCCACATCACAGTGAGACTCAGGCTCTGACTGCGCCATGGCCCCATCCAAGACAGTTCCTTGACACGGATCAGACTAATTTCTGTGTGGACAGAAGGGGCCCCAGACTTGAGTCAGTGCCTAGGCTTAGTGTGCTGTGTAGACATACCCAGAATGTTCTACCACTGATCTTAAAGCATTAACCAGTGTAATTTCTCTAAATCAAACCTAAGAGTGGAGTGCTTACCCTACAGTTATGATGCATCCCCTTTTGACTGAACAATGCTCCTTATATTATCCACCAGTGATTGAATCATACTGATTTTTTTTTTGGCTTGTTCATTTTCTCATAGCTCTAACAGCCCAAGCTTATGCCCTGAAGGAAGAGAATGACAGCCTCCGATGGCAGCTGGATGCTTACAGAAATGAGGTGGAGCTTCTAAAACAAGAGAAGGGACAACTCTTTCGGACAGAAGAAAGTCTCACAAAGGACCAACAATTGCAATTTCTGCAGCAGACAATGCAAGGCATGCAGCAGGTACCATCAGCTCAAGTTTAATGCCTTTCCCCAATAATGGATATGCAAAAAGAGGTATTTTTTGTTAGGGAATAAGCACCGCAAATTTCTGCAGTGACAAAATCAGGTTTTGTAACTAGTCAATGGGCTGTTTGAGCTGTGCTTGCAGGCACAGGCAGCATGGAAAGTGCCCCACAAAGGAGCATGTGTCGCAGAGATGCACATGGCCCCAAAACCCAAAAGCTTTGAGCAGCATGCAGGGGTGCAGCAGGCAGGGAGCATGCCCAAGGATCCCGCTGGGCTGCTGTCTGGGAGCCGCTAGGTAAGTGCATCCCAGCCGGAGTCTGCACCTGGCACCTCACCCTTTCCCTCCTCCCAACCCTAGATCACAACCCAAACCTTCTGCCCTCCCTCCTGTATCCCTGCCTCTGGTCACAACTCCCTCACAGACCTTGCACACCTTCCTATACCCCTCTTCCAGATCAGAATCCTCTCCTGCACCCAGACTACTTCTCAGAGCTCTCATCCCTCCTGCTCCCCGATCCCCTGCCCCAGGTCACAACTCCCTCCTTCACCCAAAATCTCTTCCAAACCCCACATCTCCTCCTGCACCCAAATCCCCTACCCCAACCTACCTTCTGCACACAACCTCCATCCCAGACCCATATCCCTCCATTAACATAGAAAAGTGCCGCCCTTGACCACTTACCAAATTCTTGGAATGTCTTCCCATTAAAAATTATTGCCCACCTCTGACTTAAGTGCAGACTTTAAATGTGTGAGTAATTTCATCCATACTTAAGCACATGTTTAAGTATCACTGACTTCATTAAAGTTAAGCACATGAATGCATGAATTGCTAACTATGCACTTAAATGCATGTTATCCATTGCCTTGGACGTTGTGAAGTCATTCACTCCAGTACAAATGAGAATTACATGCTACCAAATCAAAATGGTAGTTTTTCACTCGCATGCGGATTCAATTGTTACCTGGGGTGCAAGGGCAAAAGAGAATTGGGCTCTGGAATTTGAATTGGCTAGAATTGAAACCCATCATTTATTATATGTTGTCTGTCCATGGCACAACTGTATTTCCCATCTTCCATGGTTTTTAAAGTCCTTGACATTTTGCTGTGAGTTACCGAATTTGTGCTAATGTGGCATACGGGATCAAGCCAACCAGCTTCCTCTGGGGGAGAAAGGAGTTGTAAAAGGGAATCTGGGGATCTGATTTGAGGATATGCTGAGGATTGCAGTGATCAGGTGTTTTGTTGGGAAATTGTTAGCAGGTTCAACAGCTAGATGGAGCTAAGTTGGGTCTCTTTTACATATTACTGTAATGGGTTTGAGTAGATGGGTTTTGGTTGTAAGTAACCCATCAGACACCCTATAGCCTTTATGCTTTTTCTGTGATTCACCCAAGAATATGTAGAAATTGGCCTTTTATGTATATAGAGTCTGAGTTTGGCTTTCAGAAATGCTGAAGACTGACAGCTTCAATTGAAATCCATCAGCACAGCGTGTGTACAGCACCTATGAAAATCAGGCTCTATATAAAATATTAAACATACATCCAGGTCTTGGCTCGTAATGACTTAACAAGAAGAACTCTATCATTCCCTTTTATCTTGTTGTAGATATTATATTTAATTTAAGACAAGATGAACTGGTTTTCACCAAGTTCCTGAACCATATCTATATGTTCACATTAACACATCTGTTCCTTCTTCCTTTCCGTTCACATTCACCACCTCCCCCTACCCCTCACTCTAAAAAAACCCCGCTGGTCCCTCTCGCTTTGAAAACTAAAGAATAATTGATTTAAATTGCAATTGAAGTGCAGGTCTGGATGGGGAAACAGATGAATTTTGAACATTAAAGAATTTTCTTTACACACATTTGATGTCAAACAGTAACAAATAACGCAACATTAGTGTCTTTTTAATGCCCTCCAATTATCTAGTGATTTTTCAGGTTTCTTTTGCACAATTACAGGACTGATGAAATGAGTGATTATTTTCTCTTCTCTCACCACTTCTGTTGCTCAAAAAGCATTATCAGCAAAATCACATAGATACTTCCTCATGAAGAATACCTTATGGGCAGTAACAGCAATTTAGCAATTTATGTTGTTTAAAAATGTGTAATAGCAGTTCAGGCACTGAAGTTATGTTTTTTTGAGTTAACTCCCTCCATGAATGTGTCACCATTTAATTTCATACTCACTTTGAGGTCTCAAACTAAAAGAAAAAAACGTCTTGTATCTATGGCAACAAATGAGATACACTGTACCTGATCCTTATATGGAAATTGAATTAAATTGTCATGCCTTTATAGGTGGAGTTAGCTTCCATTTCTATATGGGGAGATACATAAAATATATACCTTTTCAAATTGTTCTGTAAGGGCAGGTCTACGCAGCAAGGCTAAAGCCAAAATAAGCTATGCAACTTGAGCTACATCAATTGTGTAGCTTAACTCAAAATAGCTTATTTCGGCATTTGATGCTGTCAATAGCAGGAAGTCCAAGTTAGAGACCTCTTCCTCTGACTTGCCTTTCTTCTCGTAAAATGAGGGTTACAGTAGTCAGAGTAAGAATTCCTCCACCTCGACATTATGTTGACATTATGTCGAAATAACTGCTTGCTGTGTAGATGCGGAATATGTTATTTCGGAATAACACTAGTTATTCCGAAATAATGCTGCTGTGTAGACATAGCCTTATTGAGCATCTCAGCGCTGGAAACAACATAAGAAAACTCTATGATCAGAGAGATTTTGATTTCAGAATGTTATTCCAGTGTTTTGGGGGAATGGGTTAGATATTTTAGGATCTAATGTTAATCACTAAATGCTAAGTTTATTTGAATCTTGACTCCCTAATGTGAAATGACTTGATTGAAAATGATCAGACAACAGGCCTTGGGTTTTTACCATATAGATATTGTAGATGACATATATTCTGAGTGATGCTGAAGCTCATTTTGATTAATTTTTAATACATGCCAGATGGCATTATTAATTCCTTACAGAATTATTTATCTGATTATTAGCAGTATTGGCTGTAGACTATCCTGTAGACATGTTGTGTCCTCACACAAACTTGGTAACATTATTTTAGTTAAGGATCATAAAGAACAGGACTGAAGAATCGAATTGGCCATTTGTAGGAAGTCAGGGGAAAGTCATACCGAACAAAGGAAATGTCACAAAAACTGTTACAAATATGAAGAGTGAAAGGATTATCCTGCAAAAGAGCCTCTACCATTTATAATGCAAACGATTCAGACAGTGAAAGTGTTGTGATAACAAATGGACAGTTTGAACTAAACCTCTTCTAGTCGTCAAGGTATTTCATTTGTTTTCTTGTGCACTTGCATCTCCCACTGAAGTCATTGGGAGCTGGAGATGCCCAGCACTTGTCATAATTTCGAGCTCTTAGAGGAAATCAGTGGATGTTAGATATCTAAATACTTGGAGATCTAGGCCCTGTACTGTAAATTAGTTGATTATGGACCATGACATTAGCTGCATTTGGTATATCATTTGGGACACACACCATCATCATTTAGCAAATAGTAATAATTATTGGTGAGATTTTCAAAAGCACTCAACATTCACCTAACTTGCCTGAAGTGAAGTGGTGGAATTTGAAGACTCACTTTACTGGGAACCAAGTTAGGCCAATCCCGCACACTTTGGAAAGTCCCCCCACTATTACACTAGAAACTGCCCTATCAGAGTTTAATTATTTGAGCTAGTTCCTGTAGTAGATGGAATGAAAAACATTGACTTTTACCTAGAAGTGGTGGGGAAACCAAGCATCAGCATGATCCCACTGACTTTAGCAGGGGCCAAGAGCATATTTCTTCACAGGGATGAGCTCAGTTACTTGTAGGATGGATCTAATGTGGGCTCTTTCTCCGCACTTCTTCCACATGGCGTGTCTACTGTCTAAACTCCCCTGAACCTCAGTCAATGTTTAGCTCTATAGGTCTCCAACATCTCAAAGAAGACTTTTCTATCACATTCATTCCACTCACCCATATGCAAACTTTTCCAAATGTCAAAAGTCACAAATAATTTTGTACAAGCCTGAAAATCATAGAATCCAGGGCTGTCATGACAGCTATACCAACCCATTCATCCTTAGGTGTGAATATTCCAGCAGCAGATGAGAGCAACGATTTATAACATAGGTGGATTTGGGGTTATTCTCATTAGTACATCCTGACTACAGAAGGGCTTATTTATTCTGTTTTATCCTCCTACTCAACATTGACTCAACATGTCGCCCAGCGTATCTATGATCAAGATGAACCTGTTTCTCCTCAAAATGCAGTATTAGAGAGGGAAGTAAATAAGAGAGCAGGAAATAGCATGCTTATTTTCCCTTCTTTTTTTTTTACCTGCTGAATAAATAAAGTGATTAAGGTGAAAATATTCGTATTGCTCTCCAGAGTATGAAGCTTAATTCAATCTCTAAATTTACAAACAGCAACAGCAGCAGCAAAAACTTGGCATTTCTGAATGATATATGAATTCTAAAAACAAATAGCCCTGTTTCTGGGAATGAGGAGGAAGTGACACAGTATCAGTCTGTGCTACAAACACTACATCTATACAGATGAAGCACTGCAGCTATGCCGCTGTAGTGTGGACACTTACTACCACAACCAAGAGGTTTTTCCCATTACTGTAGCAAATCCAACCCCTGAGAAAGAAGTAGATAGATTGAGGGAGCATTTTTTCAGTCAGCCTAGCTGCGCACAGAGTGGCAGTGAGAGCCTCCCACTGCATCGCATGGGGCATGGCATTTTTCAAAATCCTGGGTGACATACCCTGGTTGACCTAAGTTTTAGGTATGGACCATGTCAAAGGAAGTTTTAGCACGCTTTCCTTTATTGTTTGAATGTAACAGTCTACTGGTTTTACCATCAAATACCTATCCGCTGCAGTTTATTATTATTTAAGTATAAAGTGAAAGTGGAGTTTTCCTGCAAATGTGGTGCCCTCTAA